GGGAATATGGATGCCAATGTGGTCGCATCCATCCAGCAATTATGCCAAAAGAAAATCTGACCTATACCAAGGTGCCTGCAATATATGGCTCTATCCGGGGCCCAGCTAATTTCAACCTCTTCCAGATAGGAAACGCTGAGTAAAGAACTGTTGCAAATAAAGGGTGTCCCCGTACAATACTAGTCCCGTAAGAACTAGGCCCAAAGAGATCTCTGAGAACGGAACAACCACTAGAGCTTCATGGAGAAGGTGTCCACCACATTTCGTAATCTCCTAAAGCCTAGACTACCCTCATCAGTAGGAAGACAAATCTCCTTCCAGCTCCACCAATGTAAACGTCGCGCCTGTTCTTTGGAATCCCACAAGAATCGCACAAAGATGCTCTTAAGATTCTTCAGGATAGCCTTAGGGGGCTGCATGAATTTGAAGAAGGTGTAATAGCATGGAGGAGAGCACTGACCTCAGCAAAGTAATACAGCCCCCATATAATAGAAGTCATGAAGCCTAACTTCAGATCATATTGCTGACCTTCTGGATAAGGTCATCATAAATGAAGCTCATCTTGGCTCCCTTAAATAAGGGGACTCCCAAATAAGTGAACGGCTGTTGCTGGTGTCGAAAACCAGTCAAAATCTCCAATCGTCTGATTTGACTAATAGATGCCCGTTTTGGTAGAATGAGTTTGCTCTTATCCCTGTTCATCAACTGACCAGAGACCCCCTTATGATGCTCCAGACAACCAAGAATCCTCCTGATAGACTGTTTTTGACCGTTGGCGAATATGATCATATCATCAGCAAATGAAAGGTGTGAACAAGAGTTCTACCTCTATGTCGATAACACATACGAGATATTCCTGAAACCTCTGAGTGAGCAGACGTAAAAAGTAAACTGCACTTATGATGAACAAGGATGGAGAGATAGTCGTGAGGATTGGAAAAAAAAAGCCACATGGACGGCCATTTAGGAGTACATAAAAATGACACTCTGAGATGCACCCCTAATCCCATCGATCCAAATCCGATCAAATCAAAATGCCTCTAATACAGAATAAATGAAGTTTCAATCCATGCGATCATATGCTTTAGTCATGTCTAGCTTCAGCATAGTGTTATCCCCTCGCATTATATCATCCAAAGTATGAAGAAGTTCCTGAACCAATAGAACATTGTCCCCAATTAGGCGACCATGAATGAACCCACTTTGTTGCGGAGAGATAATACGCGATAACAGTGTACTCAATCTAGTGTTCAAAAGCTTAGTAATAAACTTATTGAACATTGTACATAAATTGATTGGTCTGAAATCTGTCCATCTACAAGCACCGTCCCTCTTAAGGAGCAATACTATAGTAGTAGTAGCAGCAAAACCCCGTGGAAGATGGCCACTGTCAAAGAAGTCCAAGACTACCATGTATACATCGTCCTGAATAATGTTCCAGAAATGCTGGAAGAATAGGGATGAGAATCCATTCAGTCCGGCAGCACTGTCAGCATCTATACTAAATACCGCCTCCCGAACCTCATGAATTAAAGGCATGTGATTTAGTACCGAATTATCATCAACCGTCAAAAGCCTGGGGATGATATCAGAACAAATGGGGTCCACGGCTGTGTAGGAGCAGATAGAAGATCCTGATAGAATGCAATAGCTGAAGTCTGAATGTCAGTAGGAGTAGTTAAGATTTCCCCTGCCTGCATCCTGCTAGACCTAATACGCGATTTGATCCTACGTCTTTGAACCATCGCATGGAAATAACGAGTATTGTGATCTCCTTCACATGCCCAACGTGAACTGGCCTTTTGCTTCCAAAAACCCTCTTCAATAGATAAAGACCGGTTTAACACTGCATGTGCACTATGTAATAGGTCATGATGCTCCGGTATAGGGTTTCTATCATATACTGTCTCAGCCTCATCCACCTTATCCTCAGCATCTTGCACCCATTGGAAAATATCTCCAAACACATGTCGATTCCACCAACGCAGTCCCTGTTTCAGCCTAAAGAACTTCTCCCAAAGAACAGTCATCCCAAGATGAGTAGGGAGCGACCACTTCTGAGCAATAAAAGGATGAAAAATCATGATGCTTGGTCCAAACGTTGAAGAATCTGAAAGGTCTAGGCACTAAATTATCGTCAGAAACCCACTGAAGTAATAAAGGAAAATGATCAGATGAAGTCCGATTCAAGTGCCTCACTGTAAGCTATCGACAGAATGCTGCAGCTATAGAATTAATGAGTACCTTATCCAGTCTCTTTTTGACTCGACCGTTTGACCAAGTATACCGATTCCCAAAGAAACCAGCATCCTCTAAATCACAATCTAACATCATATCAGATAAAACAGTAGTGATCACGAGTATTATGACTAGTGTGCTCACCATCATGTGTAATAAAGTTAAAGTCTCCCCCAACTAATCAAGGACTGTCCATATCGAGAGAAATGTGGTGGAGACCCTCCCACAAATCCCTCATGATAGCTACGTTGCATAGCACATAGACTGGAGTTAGATAGATGGGATGCGCTAGTCTAGGATCCTCAAATATCCTTGTTTAACTAGCTTAAATAAGTGCATAAGATACACTTATCAACTCTTTATGCTGCTGAACTGCTTCTTCAAATGCAAATTCAAAAGATTCTTAACATAATTATATGTTCTTCCAGGTAAATGAGATGCAACAGCAGTTCATCTAAAGAAATAATTATCAATCAATGAAAAATAAGCATTTTTTGTTGAAGTTCATTTGATAAAACGACATAATTTCAATTGTTATTCTTTTCAAGAATATAAATATCTGCAGAATTTGAAAACTTTTTATGTTGAGTTCACATTTATTATATCTTGTCTTTAAGAGATGAATATGTAGGCAAAGTTCGAAGTGATAAACATATGTGTTGATAAGTGGAAAACTTTGGACGAAATCCTAGGCATTTTATCAATGTAAAAGAAGAGACGACACAAGCAGTTAATTACTTGTTACCTGGCATGCTCTGGAGACGAATATTAGTATTCTCTTCCTTGACCCTAAAGGGACCTCGTTTTATGTCTGGTCGAAGATAGTTTGCCCAACAAGCAACTCTTCCCACACCAGAGGAGACCTGAAATTGTGACATAAGCAAGAAAATCCCCCTTATTTTCTTAACATACAGTTGTTATGTGTGCATTTTCAATGTTTCATGGACTTTTTGGTCTCCTACGTGTTCGATATGGATATGCTAGCTAGCTTTTTGGAGTTCTCTGTGCAGCCTAACCTATTATCGATACAGATAGAGAAATGATGCTTAGCATTTGAGACCTTTCTCTTCTCTTGTTTTGGTCATTCGTTTTATGTGATTTAAAGGGGAGTTTTAATGCGACAAAATGATGTTCTTTATGACGAAAATGACGTTTAACCTGAATTTGATAAGATCAATCACAAACATCTTCCTTTTCCACGTAACATAGCCACTCGATTGGTCAAAATATCTTGGCATTTTGCAAAAGTTTATTCCAAAACTGGAATGAAAGGTTTTTCTTTGGATGTTTCACTACAAAAGATATTTATTTATTTATTAACCGATATAGTATCTATATCACGGACTCTTCAACTAAAGTAACATGTTTACTGACACTTCCCGAACACTCCGTCATGGTAATTATTTTTTATTTTTCAGAAATATTATATATTTTTAGGGTTAAATCCATCAATTGCCACCCAACTTTATACTTGACATCGCCATGACCACTCAATTTAATTTTGTTTTACCATGACAACCTAACTTTGTACTTAGTGTCACTATAGTCATCCAATTTGATTTTAAACTATGACCACCCAATTTCATATAACATTTCACCATGGTCGCCCAACTTCTTTTCACTAATTTTAAAAAGATTAAAACGTTAACGTTGTATTATATATATAAAATAAATTTTTAAAAAATAAAAATAAAAATAATTTAAAAAAAATGTTACTTAAAAAAAACTTATTTAAAAAAAGGTTACTTAGAAAATAAAATAAAATTAGTGAAAATTGTGAAAAGAAATTGGATGTTCATAGTGAAATGCTATATGAAATTAGGTGGCCTGTTGAAACATTATATGAAATTGAGTGGCTATGGTGACACAAAATATAAAGTTGGGTGGCCATGATGAAACAAAATCAAATTGGGTAGTCACGATAACACTAAGTATGAAATTTGGTGGCCATTGGTGGATTTAACTCTATATTTTTAACTCAAAATTATTATTAAATAACGAATATTTACTCATATTTAAAAGATTTCAACAAAAAAACAATTAATAATAAGTACAAAACTAAATTTCTACTATATAAATAAATAATTTCAAAGGATTTAATCAACGTGTTGACTACGTATTGTGTCAGTTATTTTTTGAAAAATTGTGTGTCGGACATGTGTCCGTGTCGGTGCTTCATAGAATATAGCTGTGGTGGGTCGTGAATGTTTTTGGGCCTACTAGTCTTGTTTCTTGGGAAGGCCCATGACTGCACATGGACTCCAAAAATGCAGACTTTTTCGAACAACTCGATACTGCTTTAATCGCCTTATAACCATTTCCTTCTCAACTTGCCTCGATTTTTATTTTTAACAAATTCCACTCCTAATTGAGAGTGTATATTGCACGATCAAATCTTTAAGTGTATTTGGTATTACTATTTACAATACAAAATGAAAATAAATGCAAGTTATATTTCTTAAATATTCACACGTTTAAAATAAATGTGTACATATATACTCATTTTTTGTGGGTTTCCACTTTTTAAGTTACCTTTGCTAGTTTGCTTCCTCCACCGCGTAAAGATGATGGTTTAGAGAGAGAGAGAGAGAGAGAGAGAAGGAATTACTTCATCTCCAAGTTTCTCTCACTTCCTTATTCCTTCTCCTATTTGTCCTATAAATGTAATTCTCTCACTATCCATCCATCATTAACATTCTTTACACATTTGCTACCCAAAAAGCAGATTTTAATTGAATTATTGTTTATTCATTTAAGTAATTATGGTGAAGCTTACGTTGGTAGGCAGAGTGAAAGATGGGTTGCCTCTTGCAGAAGGTCCAACTTATAAGAATCAAGAAAATGAGAACTTGTCAACTTACAAGCAACAAGGAGAGTTCATACTCAAAGAAATCTCAAGAGGAGCCTTATCAACATCAAAGATGACCATTTTTCTCAATTCCCATTGTTTCAAGTATGCTTTTCTTCTCTAAATTGTATTTGCATTTACTTGTTCAATGTCTCATCTAATTTCCTCGACTACGTGACCACTTAGAATATCCGAATTGTCGAATAATGTTATCTACCGTACATGCAGAAAGCTGATTTTATTTATGAAACTAGAATTCTTCGACCACAAGTTCACTCATTCACGATTACCCACGTGCTTGCAATGTTTTTTTTTTTTTTTTACTCTCGTAAGAAGGGTTAGGACTTATCGAGTAATATAGACTTGAAAAACTTTATTTGATATAGTTTCATACCACTTATAAACACGTGATTTCTCCCTGGTAATGTATTTCAATACTCTACATGAGTAGCCATTCACCCACAAGTTTTTACTTATCTAGCAATTGAATATAATCTATTCCAGCATAAAACTTTTACCCTGCAACTTGGAGTAATACACACTTCTTTGAAATTGTTCTCTCTCTGTAGCATTTGCAATTCATAGGGTTATAATGTTTTTATTTTTAATCTTGGTTTGGTTTTCAGTTATATTGTTGAGAATGGAGTTTGCTTCATGGCACTCTGTGACTCAACCTATCCAAGAAGGCTGGCTTTCTATTATCTACAAGACCTGCAAAAGGAATTTGACAAGTTTCATGTTGGACTCACAGATAGAATTACAAAGCCATATAGCTTCATCAAATTCAGTAATTTCCTGCCACTATAATTACGATTCCTGATTATTCAGTTGACAATAGGACATGTTTGGTGCGTTGTTTGACTGAATAAGATCGAAGAAGGATCATATAACAAAGTTTGTAATTTTCCTCTCGAGTCCTACAGATGGTATCATTGGAAATGTTCAAAGAAAATATGAAGACACAAGGACACAGGCAAATTTATCTAAGATGAATGCAGAGTGCTCCCAAGAACCAGACAATATGGCATCAGAAATTTTTTCTCAAATAATAAAACGAAGAAGAAGATCTGGTAAGCTTATCGACTTGCTATCCAACTTAACACAATATCATGGAGAGTGACAATAGGGGCGATTAATCAGCTTCTCGACTATTCACCAAAAAAATAAACTATTGTGAATTATGCAATGACGGTATAATTTTTTCTTTTCTTTTATTATCAGAAATGTTGGAGAGGATAAGCAATGCACATCTAAATGCCTCTCCAATCTGGGGTTCCAAAAGTCTTGAGGTTTGTATAAATTTATAAGTTTTGCATATAAATTCTAGTGGTTTTTAGCACGCAACAGAACTGTGTAGCTTAAACTTTGGAGATATTAATATATTTTCCCTTCTGTTTTTTGCTAATTCCACAGATTATCGCTCTGAAATGGACACCAATAGCAATAGTCCTTGCGGTTGCTACTCTACTTTTATGGATCAGCTTATTCCATAAAGATGACTACTTATAGATTGTCTATTAAACCTGTTAAATCAGAGGATATTCATTGAGCTTCCAAAGTCTCTTGAATGTTACTGTAAATTCCTAGCATGTACTTAAGATTTGATATATATGAAAAGCATGTTCATAAATAATTAGTTGGCTACATAGTTCCTTTTCTGCTCAGTTCATTGTTAAATCTCCTTGAAGATTTAAAGCACCTATATCCTCGCAACTAGGACAAGTCATGTTAATCTTGGTCACCTCTCTTCTAATTTGTTCTATTGAGATCACATTACTAGAAACTGAAACCTATTTAGGTCTACACAAAACATGATTTGTCAATCGGTACTTATTCTTCTTGTTGGACTATATTTTCATTTCAAGGTCAAACCTATGTAATAACAGTTATGAAAGGTGCACACAAGTAACTATAAGTAACTAACTATACTTTTTTAAGCCCTCTAAAAAATTTTTAACATAAGAATGTCATAAATCTGTCAAGTCATTGATACACACAAAATCAGCCAAACACTAATGTACTATTTATTTATTATTATTATTATTTTTTTTTCAAAATGAAATCCTTCCTGAATACGAGTTACACTGAATTAAACTTTCAAGTAACAAATCTGAACATTCCAAAATACCTAATAGACCCACAAACAATTCTTAAAATACATATTCCATACAGCAAAAGGCTACATTAGATCATATTCCTAACATGACATCAGAAGATGCCCACAAGTAGTAAAACATAGACTTCATAAAGCAATGTGAGCGAGAAAGGAATTTGATAAGCTACAGGCTACAGCTACTACAGTTACAGTAAGGACCCAGGTCAGGAAGAAATATCACAAGTAAAAGAAACTTTACGCTCAAATTGTCTATTCTAGAAAAAATTGATCAACAAAATATGCAGTATTTGCTCAGTTGTCTGTGAAACTTTGGACCTGCAGACGACTCGATTCTAATTATCCAGCAACACTATCCTTGCATGAGCTCTAGAAGGTCCATGACTATTCATGAGTGGATCAAGTTGAATTGGAACCTGGATAGCTGCTGTGGAATGGTGGATATAACAGGTCCATATCTCTGCCATTTGCAGTGAAGTGCTTCGTAAAAATCATAAGATTACCTTGTTGAGATGATTGTCAACCTTCACCACATAATGCCAACAACGAGGCCTTTTGTGTACATTATTTTTTGGAGTGGGTGGGTGGGTGGGGGGTAACGCTACCGTTATGTTAGGTAAATCATAGTTGAGGAAATAAAAAAGAGCAAATGAAACACAAAAGGCAAAATGAAAGCAACTGTAATTATTGGGAGTTATATTAGATTGCTCATGATACATCTGCCCTTCTAATCTGTAATTGAACTGCTAATAGAACTATTTTGATTAGAGCTACTGAATATCTATCATACCTGAACATTGTCGTAGAGTTCAAACAATGGAACAGCAATTGGTTTTGGGATGGAACCTCACTTGGGCCTGGTGGAATGGGCTTGGGCCCTGAGTAATTGCTATCAATAATTCCCTAACAGTGGTATCAGAGCCCAGGTTGTGTGGTTAGATAAATCGAGGTGGTGGAAAATTCTCATGAGATTGTGGATCCATGGTAACGTAGTGGGTGCAGGCTACGATGGATTATCTCGATGAGTGGTGATTTACCTCGTGAGCCTTGTTTGAGGGAGGGATTGTTGGGGCAAACAAATCTCACATCGGTTGTGGGAAGAAAATAAATCCACCATATAACTCAAGTGGGCTACTCCACCCATTACCAATTGGTTTTGGGATGGAACCTCACTTGG